TAAAATTGAATATATGTATTTTTGAAAGCATTCTTGCATTACAGCATTTCATTACACCTGCCTAAATATGTACCTTTTAGATCTATGGCCAACTGCTATATAGCATGGTACCTGGCAACTGTTTTACACCTGCAGATGGTGAGCCCACAGGGTCTCAACAAAGTCACCTCAGGCTAAGCAAAGCTTGTTTATGCTTGTGGCTTGGCCAGGTGCTTGCCTGTGAACTTTAACCCCAGGCCTAGTTCTGTGGATATTTACTGGCATCCACACATTAAACAGGTTGAAACTATTGTCTGTCTTCTCACATTTGACTCGGGAATATGGCAGAACTCCCCAGGAAGCTGCATCACAGACATACATGGCAAGATATTCTCAAACACTAACACGAACAGTGCCAGGTTGGAAAATGAATAGCTGTCTTTCGAAAGACAGCCATGTGTTATAAGCAGAAGAAGCACACTTTGCTAAAAATGTTCTCAATAGAGGATGTGTGTGTTGGCTGAATGAATTGCAATGATTGGAGAGTTTGCTTCTCAGCAGTCAGACCATGCACAGGGGGTTGTCAAGGCCCTCCTGCTCAGCTTACTTTTATTGCAGTTTCTGCCAGGATAATGTGTCAAGAATGAAATTATTATTATACAGGATTTATATAGCGCCAACAGTTTTCTCAGCGCTTTACAATATAACGGGAAACAATACAGCAACAATACAGTTCAATACAACAGGGAAAGGAGGGCCCTGCTCCTTGGAGCTTACATACTACGTACTGTACATATCTAAGAAAATGCAAAGCTTTTTGGAATATGGAAAAAGTTACAAAGAATGCTTAATTTTCTCTATTCCACCAAGATCTTCATTGATAGTCAATCTCAATTACTGAATACAAATGATTACGAAAAACACCATAATTTTAATATGCAATTATATGGTTCTTTACTCTGTTTTAGCAGTAAATTGGTTTTATTTGTAGCTAGAGATTTTAGAGTCACTTTGTCACAAAGCTATGTGTTGTCAAAGGGATCTTTAATGAAAACATGAACCAATACTTAGTACTGTATTGCCTTCTCTTATTTCAGCCCCTAATGTTTATTTGGAGAAATTCTAAATGACCTTTGGCAGAAAGAGTTGATATGCGGAAGAGCAGATGTATTCAGTCATCTAAAAATTGCCTTTGTCTCTCCCTTTTCTTCAGCTGACATTATCTCGACAGTCGAATTCAACAACACGGGAGAATTGCTTGCCACAGGAGACAAGGGGGGCCGTGTTGTAATATTTCAACGTGAGCAGGAGGTAAGGGCTGCTGACCACAAAATTAATTTTATTTTATTTTCTCATTCCCAAGCCTCATGCTGCTTCCTAATTTTTATGTCTCACTCATTGCCCTGGTTATCAATAAAGAAACCACACTTGACATATGAGCCAGGCAGTTGTGAGTTTCCTGTGGTGTGACCTTGCTTGGATAGCTTGACTAATATAGGGTTTTCATCCAGCTCTTTTCAGCAATTCCATGCTGGGACCCAAAGATTTAAACTGACAGCAAGCGCCCCTCTCTTATTGTGAAGTATCTTTTTGTTTAGAGGAGCTGACACAGTTTAATGATGCATTATTTATTTGATCACAATTTGATGAAAAGCAGCATGTAAACTTGCTTGTATAGATGTTTCACATTTTAACTCATTGTTCACATCCCCACCCACCCAAAGGTATGTATGGCGTACATGAGTTGTACATTTATACTTTTTCTACCTGTCTGCCATGTGGCTAGCAAGCAGAAGATAAACCGAGAAAAGGATATGTGGCAGATGGAACATGTCATTTTAGTTGTGGCTGTCCAAATCTAGAATAGAAGAGGACTCATGCTTGCAAAAGTAACCACTTAAAGACCAGGCCTATTCTGACAATTTTCTCTCCTACATGAAAAAATATAGTGTTTTATTTTGTTTTTTTTTAGAAAATTACTGTACTTAAAACCCCAAAACATTATATATATATTTTTAGCAGAAGCCCTAGAAAATAAAATAGTGGTCGTTTGCAATTGTTTTATGTCACACAGTATTTGTGGCGGTTTTTCAAACACTTTTTTTTCCAATACACTTTAATGAATTATAAAAAAACACAATATATAACCCAAATTTTGGAAAATACGAAATATGATGTTACGCCGAGTAAATAGATACCCAACATGACATGCTTTAAAATTGCGCACACTTATGTTGCCAAACTACGTTATTTAAAAAAAATCTCCATAGACTATTTAAAAAATGTTTACAGGTTACCAGTTTAGAGTTACAGAGGTTGTTTAGTGCTAGAAGTATTGCTCTTGCTCTGATGTTTGCAGTGATACCTTACATGAGTGGTGCGAACAGTTTACATATGTGGACGTGACCTACGTGTGTTCACCACTGTGCGAGAGCATTGGGGTGCATTGATTTGTTTTTTTGTTCTATTTTTATTTTAACTTTTATTACTTTTTAATTTTTTTAATCACTTTTATTTCTATCACAAGGAATGTAAACATCCCTTGTGATAGAAATAACACAAATGGTGACAGGATCAGTTCATGGAGAGATCTTGGGTCAGTAAGACAATAGAAAGGCTCTACAAAGGAAAGCATTCAATCAAAAAAAAAAAACATTTAATCTAATGATTTAAAAAAAAAATGGCCTTGTTTACATCAGGCCGGAGCCGGAAGTGATGTCATGACGTTGCTCCAGTCCTCCTGGGCCATGTGACATGGCTCTGTGACAAGCTGCCTCCAGCGCGGCATTAGTTATCAGGCTCACGGATCACCCAGGTAAGCCCGAGAACCACCGGAAAGCGGGGGGGGGGGGACACAGAGTGATTCCTCCCGCCACTGCCGCTTCTAAAAGTGATCTAGCAGCTAATCAGCTGCTCAGATCACCTTTATCAGAAAGACTGGCGCCTGAGGGAAAATATTTACTGTAATACCAATGTTATGGCATCTACCTGCAGCCATAACCCCGGTATTAAACGTCAGGTTAAGGATGTATTTTCAAAGTTAGGCGGTCGGCTAGTGGGTGATGTACAGCACCCTTTACATTAGAGTTTTGTACTACCTTGTAAATTTAACTTTAGTCATTTTTACAGCTTGAAGACCAGCATGTTAAACCCCCTTCTAGTCCAGGACATTTCAGTTTTCGGCACTGTGATACTTTGACTAACAATTACTTGGTTATGTGACACTGTACCCAAATTAATTTTATATATTTTTTTTGAGACTGATAAAGTTTTTTTGGTGGGGTTTAAAGCGGTAGTAAACTGCAGCCTTTCAAAAAAAAAAAATCCCTGCAAGGCAATACTAGCACAATATGAAATACTTCTTCTTAGTACGAAGCCCTCCAGCAGTGCACTGTCACCTCTGACAGGGCTTCCATCTTCCCTGGATCTGGTCCTTTGAATGGCTGAGCCACAATGATGCTTCTCCTGTGCATCCGCACGGGAGTCACGGTTTGTGGCACAGAGCTCTGAAGAGATGGCATGTGCATGCTGTCCTTTCAGAGTGCAAGTGCTGGTAACATCACTGGCTGCATCAGTTGTGGATATTTCCTAAACACCACAAGTTTGGTTGATATTCACTGTATCTACAGTTAAGTCTTGTTATAGGCTTACCTGTAAGTACAAGTCAAAAGCGGAGTTTACTACCACTTTAATCACCATTTACTATATAAAGGAAAATAGTTGAAATTTAGGGAAACCGTTTCTACTATAAAATTAGCAAATAATCGTTCATCAATACAGAAATTAGAATATCGTGTAAAAGTTCATTTATATCAGTAATGCAACTTAAAAGGTGAAACTAATATATGAGATAGACTCATTACATGCAAAGCAAGATAGTTGAAGCTGTGATTTGTAATAATTGTGATGATTATGGCTTACAGCTCATCAAAACCCCAAATCCACAATCTCAGAAAATTAGAATATTGTGAAAATGTGCAATATTCTAGGCTCAAAGTGTCCCACTCTAATCAGCTAATTAAGCCATAACACCTGCAAAGGGTTCCTGAGCCTTTAAATGGTCTCTCAGTCTGGTTCAGTAGGAATCACAATCATGGGAAAGACTGCTGACTTGACAGTTGTGCAGAAAACCATCATTGACACACTCCATAAGGAGGGAAAGCCTCAAAAGGTAATTGCAAAAGAAGTTGGATGTTCCCAAAGTGCTGTATCAAAGCACATTAATAGAAAGTTATGTGGAAGGGAAAAGTGTGGAAGAAAAAGGTGCACAAGCAGCAGGGATGACTGCAGCCTGGAGAGGATTGTCAGGAAAAGGCCATTCAAAAGTGTTGGGGACTTTCACAACGAGTGGACTGAGGCTAGAGTCAGTGCATCAAGAGCCACCACACACAGACGGATCCTGGACATGGGCTTCAAATGTCACTCCTGAACAACAAACGTCAGAAGCTTCTTACCTGGACTAAAGAAAATCAGACCTGGTCTGTTGCTCAGTGGTCCAAAGTCCTCTTTTCTGATGAGAGCAACTTTGGGTCCTTGGTTTTCCAAATGAGATGCAAGAGTATGGAGAAAGAATATAGAGGCACACACTGCAAGATGCTTGAAGTCCATTGTGAAATTTCCACATCTGTGTTGATTTGGTGAGCCATGTCATCTGCTGGTGTTGGTCCACTGTTGGTCATTCTGGTCCTCATTTAATTTCATAATGTATTTTTTAATGTCTTCGGGGCTCTCCCGGCATGCAAAGATGTGTTTTGTCATCCTTGTAGCATTTGGAAAAGAATATTTCTTTTCACAATATTTGCAAGTTGCAGCTTTTCTCTCAGTAGAAATTGTACTGTGGAAATGTTTCCAAACTCTGGATGTTGGTCTGAGAGGAGGAAAAGAAAAACCAATGTACTGACCAGACTATAGGTAATTATGCTGTGGTGGTGAACATTAAAAGAAATCAAAGATATAAAGATAAACTAATTTTGTCAGACAAGCTTTACCCTCTTACCTGTCAATTAAAGTGTTACTAAACACAGGACCCTGCATTCACTATATCTGGTCTCCCACAGTACACAGAAAATGGAAGTGCACTTATTTTAATAAATATAATCCTTTTCTCATCAGTAGTTACAAAAGTCTTGTGGCTTCTATCATTTTCAGCTGATCACATGTTAAAGCTTGTAGGAGGAGTTGTAATTCTGCTCTAGGAAGATGCAGAACCCTTGACCTCTGTCTGGACAGTGCTGATTGGCCCTGTGCTGATCACATGCATGTGCAGAGTGACTCCACACGATATGTCTTATCAGGAGATAAGAAGGGGGCACGTTGGACAAGAGGAGGATCAGAGAAGTCAGGATCAAACAGCGTTTTTATACAATGCAGAGGATTAACCCCTTAGGTTCCACAGTGAATAGAACAAGCATGCTTTTCTGCATATACAGACTGATTTTACTGTTGTGGGTTTAGTAACACTTTTGGCCTGAGAGGACAGAAACTATCATCTACTATATCCCAACAATCACCCAACTGTAGGAGGCACAAAATGGAGCCCACAAGCAAACTAAACTGGAGATTTTCCCCTTCAGTTCTAGTGACTAAACATAGAAGGGCCCAAAGTCCAAGGTACACCTTTGGCTTGCAATGGGCTATAAATTACACATCTAATTTCCTGACAACCCATCACATTTTGGGGGCCCTGGTGCACCAGGACAGTAGAAACCCCTACAAAATTACCACATTTTGGAAAGCAAACACCCAAAAGAGTTTGAGGCATAGTGAGTATCTTGAATATTCCATTTTTTCCATGCAATTTTAGAAACTTTTTTTTTTTTTTTTTTTTTACACAGGTCTGATTTTAGAAGGTTTTTCTCTCCCAGCTTGGACACAGCTAGAATTACACCCCAAACACATTCTTCTACTCCTCTTGCGAGTATGGGGATATCACATATGTAAGAATCAATGTTTGGACTGAGTATCTCCTGTATGACAAAAATTAACCAATATTGTATCAAAAACAGTATATCGTAATGATAGCCTATGTATGAGTGGTCAAGGAATATAGATTTATGTAGCATCAGCTATAGCAGTCCTCATTTCTATATGTAAATCAAACCTAGCCTGCTGGTACGTGGTGGCTACCAAGAATACTATGTTCACAGGCTATGGTTTTCTATAGGGAATGGATAGAACTAATGTCTCTAGAATGTAGTCAGTGCAATGTGCAGATGAGTCCGTTCAGGTGGCAGGTAGAGACGTGGTCAACAAACAGGCAAAGGATTAGTCCAGGTAGCAGATGTAAACATTGTCGATAAACAGGCCAGGGACAGTGCAGGTGGCAGGCAGAGGCAAAACTGCACTTGTCTGGTTGTTATGGGGAACACTGTTTCTGACTGCACTCACTCTGGTGACACTGTACTGAGGTGACAGCAATCAGGAACACTGTTGATGGATGCACTGGTTTGGGGACACTGGGACTGGTATGTAGGTCATCAGGAACACTGTTGCTGGCTTGCACTAGTCTGGTGACACTGGGACTCGTGTCTGTGGTCAGGAACACTGTTGCTAGCCTACCCTGGTCTGGTGACACTGGAACTGGTGTGACCGTGATCTTGAATGCTGTTATGGCTGCATTGGTCTGATGTGGCAATGATCAGCAAAGCAATCGCTGGCACCACTGGTCTGACAACACTGGCTGCTATGGCAATAATCAGGGACATTGTGGCTGGCTGCACTGGTATGCTTACATATAGTTATGTAGTTAGTCTGGCTGAAAAAAGACAAAAGTCCATCTAGTTCAACCATAGAAAAAAAGTTATCCTATATCCACAGTTGATCCAGAGAAAGGCAACCCCCCACCCAAAGTATGATCCAATTTGCTCCTTGCAGGGGCAAAAATTACTTCCTGATCATCCGAGAGGCAATCTGATATTCCCTGGATCAACTTTACCTATAAATGTTAGTATCCAGTTATGTTCTGTTTATCTAGGAAAGAATCCAGGCCTTTTTTAAAGCAATCCACTGAGCTGGCCAGCGCCAACTCTTGAGGGAGTCTATTCCACATTTTCACAGCTCCTACTGTAAAGAAACTTTTCCGTAGTTGGAGATTACATCTTTTCCTCCAGATCCTTAAGTTGAATAACTCTAAACCGAGTTCACTATATGAACCACTGATGTATTTATACGTTGATCATATTTCCCCTTACTCGTCTCTTCTCAAGAGAATAAATTCAGTTCCTCTATTCTTTCCTCATAGCTGAGCTCCTCCATGACTCTTATCAGTTTAGTTGCCCTGCATGCCATTATTAAGCTTTTGATCTACTAGAACTCCAAGATCCTTCTCCACCATTGATTCCCCCAGTTATACTCCCCCCCTAGTATGTCTGATGCATGCACACTATTAGCCCCCAAGTGCATAACTTTAATTGGGCAGCTTTGTGGCAAATGAGGTTTAATGTTGATAAATGTAAACCGTGCATTGAGGTCTGCTTGTAAGTTGGAGACATCCTGTCAGGACGTTATTCCACTGCACAGCTTGGTGTCATCTGCAAAGCCTGAAATGGTATTGTTAATTCCAGATCCTATATAGTTTATAAATATATTAAAAAGTAAAGGTCCCAACACTGAACCTTGGGTACACCACTGACACCCCTAGACCATTCAGAGTATGAATCATTAACCACTACTCTTTGAAAACAATCTTTTATCCAGTTTTCTATCCATTTACATACTGAGTTTTCCAAGCCTGTAGACTTTACCTTACACATTAGCCGTGTGTGGGGGGAACGGTGCCAAACGTGTTTGCAAAATCCAAGTATACCACGTCCACCGCCACCCCTCTGATTTCTTTTATGAGGAGGTGATCAAAACCTTGGACAGATTTGTTTGACAACTTCTGTCATTCATGAATCCATGCTTTCTGTTGCTTAATATATTTTTTTTTTTCAAGCAATGTATGTATGTGGTCTTTTTTAAACTCTTTTTTAAACTCTATGCCAATATTCCATCCCAGTCTTGGAGAGCAGCTTTCAGTTTTGGAAAATTGGCTCTCTTAAAGTTGAACATTTTTTATTTTTCCTGTATGCACTCATTATCCCAGTTACAATAATATTATTACTAACAGGAAATATCAGATGTCACTTAGAGGTTAGAAGACTCCTGTTTACAACACCGGATTTTTAACTCCACTTAATCAAAGGTCCAGCAAGCAAAATACAGGCAAGCTCAAAACTGAGCAAGCTCAGAGTGAGTTCTACAGAAAGTTATATAGTACCTGTGACCAATTAACCCCTCCCCTTAATTAGCAGACTGAAGGAAAGGGAAAAAAATGCTATTTAAAATGTTACAGAAAAGTGATTTCAAAAAGTAAAAACTGCTAGCAAGACCCCAAAGAAAAAAAAATAAAACCACTACAAGCACCAGAAATCGCCAAAAGTCAAAAGCAAAACTGTTTTTCGCTATTCACTCAAATTTTCCATACTTTTTAGCTTCCGGCCAGCAAAATGTGCCAGGACATAATGGTGACAGTGGACTGGTGTGGTGATTAAGGACACTGGTCTGACACTTACTGGTGTGGCAGCGATCAAGGACACTGGCTGGCTTCATTGGTTTTGTGCAACTGTCCTGGGGTGGCTAGTGATCAAGGACACTGGCTGCTGTGGTATGGTAATACTGTGCAGGGGTGGACAGTGATCAGGGTCCTTGGCTTGCCACTTTAGTGACACTGTATGCCAGTGCAACCAGCCTGTGTCCCTGATCATCTTTGTCGATCACTGGGGTAACGATCTACAATCCCCTCACAGCTGATCAGTATGAAAGAAAACATGTGAACTGTAACATATGTAGTAGCCTTTGTTTACATATGTGATTGCTGTGATTGGTTACGGTGATCACATAGTGCAGGGACAATCCTCTAACTTTCTCTGTGATCTGCATTGTCTGATAGACACCACAGTTACAGAGTGCTGCTCTACAGGGCGAACATGAGCGGCGTAAACGGGAGGACATTTTAAAATGCTCTCCTGCCCTCAGGAGTGAGCCATCTGGCTGTTTATATGCAACAGCTCGATGGCAGGTGGTCAAAGAGCAAAGTAGTGTTTTTTTGTTTTTGTTTTTTATGTATTAAGTTTAAGGTTATTGCTAGATAAATATTGCCTGCATATTTAGTATGTTTGTTTCATGGCAATTTATTTTCTCTTTAAACTTGTGAAAAAGAAGCCAGGAACTGTTTACACTGTTCAAACCTAAAACCTACACAGAAGATGAAGAGCCCATTCACACTTATACACCTATAGTTACCAGTTTTTGTGTATTTCAAAAATACTGTACCTTTTATGTGCATTTAAAATGTGTGTTTTGCTAATGCACTATGCAAAATGTAGAAGTACACACAATAGGGGTTTTCCACGGTGCAGTGAAGTTTAAAATCTACAAAACTGCATGAGACATTTTCTGTATAGAAAAGAATCCCCCAGTGGTCATTTTGATTAGTTCAGCATGAAAATAGCTTTCCTGGAGCATTTCAGTCCCTGTAGTGAGCTGAAGCAAACCATCAACTATGGGTGACAAGGTACTGTCAAAAGATCTCTGAGATAAAATTGTGGACAGGCACAAGTCAGGAGATGGATAAAAAAATGTCAAAGGCTTTATCAATGTCTAGAAGTAGAGTGAAGTCTATTATTATGAAGTGGAAGGTATTTGGTACAACACAGACCCTCCCTGAATCAGGATGTCGCTCCAAACTGGATGAAGATGCCAGGAGGAAACTGGTCAGAGAGGCTACCAAGAGGCCTCCAGCATCTCTGAAGAAGTTATGACAAAGTGTGTTCATTGTGTGCATGTGACAACAATATCAAAAATTATTCACAAATGTGGCTTGTGTGGGAGGATTGCAAGAATAAGTCACTCCTCAAGAAAGGCCACATGCCGTCATGACTAAGCTATACCAGAATGCACATTGAAGATTCTTAGGCCACATAGAAAAAGGTGTTATGGTTTTATGAGATTAAAGTTGCATTGATATATCTGGCAGAAATCCAATACAGCTCACCATCCATATAACACCATTCCTACAGTAAAGCATGGAGGTGGTAATATCCTGTTATGGGGGTGTTTCTCTGCAGCAGGGACTGGAGCTCTTGTAAAAAGGAAAAATGGATGGGGCAAAATACTGTCAAATTCTTGAGGAAAGTCTGCTGCTGTCTGCCAGAAAGTTGTCAATGGGAAGAAGGTTTACCTGACCCAAAGCACACAGCAAAAATGAGCACACAATGCTTGAAGGACAAAAAGGTGAATGTCCTTGCATAGACTAGTCAGAGGCCAGACTTAAACCCCATTGAAAATCTGTGGAATGGCTTTGAAGGCTGTGGTCCACAAACGGTCACCATCAAATTTAACTGAACTAGAGCAGTTCTGCAAAGAAGAGTGGGCAAATATTGCAAAGTCTAGATGTGCAAAGTTAGTAGAGACATACCCCAACAGACTAAAGGCTGTAATTAAAACAAAAGGGTTTCAACAAAATACTGAACAGAAGGGCGGGGGAATCTTTTTTTTTTTTTTTTTTTTTTTTTTTTTTTTTTTTTTCCAACTAAGTGAGTCTGTTTATTTTTTTCTGACATATTGGTGTTCACTTAGATGTTGTAAGTATCACTGCATAAATACAGCTGGATAAAACAAAAACTGTGCCTTCATTACAAAAAGGGTGGTGATTCATTTCTATAACCACTGTATTGACCTTTATATTTCAGTGTGTATAAACACACAAAATGCTGAATGTCTTGCTGTTTTCAACTGCTGCACTGTAGAAAAAAGGTTAAGCTCACAAACCCTGGGTCAGAGGAGTGACTTATGCCTTCCTCCTCTACTGTGCTTTGTTCATATGGTTGTATAAATGTTGGTGAGAGATGGTCTAAAAGTAAACAGTTTCTGCTTAGCTCTCAATTTACAATATTAGGAAAATCCTGTCTCATGGGTATACCCTATACAGTATTTAATGTTTGAGTAAAGATTAAATATAAATAGTATAAAATATAGGGGGCTGCTATTGCTGATCTCCCTCTGAAAATGCTAGCTGATTGGCTCTTTCACCTAACTCACGGGCTTCAGTACGTTGACTCATTGTCAGTTCAGGATTGCTATTGGACAGATCAGGAAGAGAAAAGTGTTCATTTGTGAGTCACTGACTGAAATTATAGGTCTGCAAGACACCAAGGCAAATAGCATTTTTCATACAAGGAATGCAGTAATGGCAGCTTTCATGTTTGCTTCATGACAGGTGGAAGTGACCATTCTGCATCTTATAGTCTGCTTAGCAGGAATATGGAGCACTTTGGCTGTGCACTCAAGGAGAAATAATCCTTTATGTGATTTCAAAATGTGTGAGGCTAACCCCACTTTTTTTTAGGATCCCTCACACCAACAAAATATTGATTAAAAAAAATAATAAAGTGTCTTTTTATGTGATAGACCAACACAAAGTGGCACATTCTTGTGAAGTGGAAGGAAAATGCTAAATGGTTTTCAAACTTTTTTTTTAAAAAAATGTGAAAAGTGTGGCATGCATTTATAATCAGCCCCCCTGAATTAATACATTTTAGAACCACTGCAATTACAGCTGCAGTCTTTTCGGGTATGTTTCTACCAGTTTTGCATATCTAGAGAGTGAAATGTTTGCCCATCTGCTTTACTGTTCACAGATGCTCTCCATCCAGTCTGAAAGAGCTTGAGCTATTTTGCAATTTTCAAGTCATGTCATAGACTCTCAATTGGATTTAGGTTTGGACTTTGACTGGGCCATTCTAACACATGAATATGCTTTGATCTAAACCATTCCATTGTAGCTATGGCTGTATGTTTAGGGTTGTTGTCCTGCTGGAAGGTGAATTTCCGCCTCAGTCTCAAGTCTTCTGCAGACTCTAACAGGTTTTCTTCTAAGATTTCCCTGTATTTGGTTCCATCTATCTTCCCATCAACTCTGACCAATTCCCTGTCCCTGCTTAAGAGAAGCCCCACAACATGATGCTGCCACCACCATGTTTCACAGTGGGGATGGTGTGTTCAGGGTGATGTGCAGTGTTAGTTCTCCACCACACATAGCACTTTGCTTTAAGCCACGAAGTTTAATTTTGGTCTCATTTGACCAGGTCACCTTCTTCCACGTTTGCTGTGTCCCCCACATGGCTTCTCACAAACTGCAAATGGGACTTATTTTGATTTTCTTTCAACAATGGCTTTCTTCTTGCCACTCTTCCATAAAGGCCAGATTTGTGGAGTGCACAACTAATAGTTGTCCTGTGGACAGATTCTCCCACCTGAGCTGTGAATCTCTGCAGCTCCTGCAGAGTTACCATAGGCCTCTTGGCTGCTTCTCTGACTAATGCTTTCTTTGCCTTGCCTGTTAGTTTAGGTGGACGGCCATGTCTTGGTAGGTTTGCAGTTGTCATACTTTTTCCATTTTCGGATGATGGATTGAACAGTGCTCCTTGAGATGTTCAAAGCTTGGGATATTTTTTATATAACCTAACCCTGCTTTAAACTTCTCCACAGCTTTATCCCTGACCTGTCTGGTGTGTTTCTTGGCCTTCATGATGCTGTTTGTTCACTAATGCTCTCTAACAATCTTCTGAAGGTTTCACAGAACAGCTGTATTTATACTGAGATTAAATTACACACAGGTGGACTCTATTTACCAATTAGGTGATTGCTGAAGGCAATTGGTTCCACTAGATTTTAGTTAGGGGGATTAGAGTAAAGGCAACTAAATACAAATGCACGTCACACTTTTCAGATATTTATTTGTAAAACATTTTGAAAACCATTTGTCATTTTCTTTCCACTTCAAAATCTTGTGCCAATTTGTGTTGGTCTATTACAAAAAATACCAATATAATACATTTACCTTTTTGGTTGTAACATGACAAAATGTGGAAAATCTCAAGGGGTATGAATACTTTTCAAGGCACTGTATACAGCATATACAGTTATATAGAATTTTAATTCCAAAATGTACCTTCTATTGTTAGTCTTCTAATCTTGAAACTCCTTTTTATTACACGCTCATGTTCAGTTACGGTATGTGGGGATGTAGTCTCCTCCCGAGATGGACTACAGACTTATGCAGACTCGCTCAGGCCCCGCATATAGCATCCCATTACTCCTCTTAGGCAATTCTCTACCCAACTATCAACGCCTACAGTACTTGAATGAAAATAATGCACCGAAAAACAGTACATGCGCAGTAAGATCAGAGGATATAAAAAGTGTGGGATATATAGCAAGTGTAACGCTCTCCAGGTTAGTTGGATAGTTTTTTAGACAGAGACTGGGTAGCACCTTGGGGATGAGTCAGCCTGGAGAGTGAGGTTAGCTCAGGATAGGCTAGGAGGCTCTAACAGGTCAGGTCTTCTGGAGCCTTCCCACCTCTCCAGACACCTGAGAGGTTTCTAGAGGAGTGGAGGA